GCTCACTGTAAACACAGTGTAACTCACTGTACCATCCCCCACGCTCACTGTACACACAATGTAACTCACTGTACACATATTGTAACTCACTGTACCATCCCCCTGGTGCCCACTGTAAACAGTGTAACTCACTGTACCACCCTGTGTTTACTCTAAAGGTCCATATCAAGCCACTGGAAAAGTCCCCAGAGCCTCTGAGAACCTAGGTGTGGTGTCATCGGAGCTGCCAGCCCTGCCTGCACAGATGCTCTGCCTCCTGTCACCGCTGCTGCTGGAGGGACCGAGGACACACCAGCATCACAACTGACCAGACATGGACTGAGCCCCTCAGCACACTGCCACGATGATAGCTGCCAATGGGCCCCTATTTTTAGAGCTTCTTACTCAACAGATGCCTCACAGAACTCTCCCTGCCACACACCTCCTCCCTGTCCCAGACGGGAGGTTCACAACTGGTGTGGAGGGGAGAGCCATGGGGTGGGCCCCCACAGAGCAGGTTCCCACAGCAGGGAGAGCCACTGGGTATGTCCTCATGGTGAGGAGAACCATGGGTCAGGCCCCTGTGGTGAGAAGAGTCACGGGGCAGGTTCACACAGCAGGCTGTGCCTTCACAACACAGCAGGGATATGGGCTCAGACCAAAGCCCTGCCAGGCTACGGCAGTCCTAAGTTGAGTGGGTTTGCTCTTCCCATCAACCACTTCTCTGGGACTTAGTGGCCAACCCTCGACAGTCTCCCTGGTAGCTCCAGACACCAAACACGCTGCCAGGCCATCAACCCTGACTCGTGGCAGCCCCGCGTGGACAGGGTACAACTGTGCTCCAGAGAGCTGTCCTGGCTGCGACCTCTGGGAAAATCAGGTCTTTCCAAGGTGCCTATGTGGAGATTCAACCCGCCAACCTCATGGTTAGTAGTCTGGTGCGTGAGCCTTGGTGCCCCCGGGGGCTCCTCCATGACAGCCAACAGCTAAATAATAACTGAAATACTGACACGGATGTTTGCATGTTTTCTTAACACACTGCTAGCCACCAGTGTGTCAGAAGCCCCGGCAACCATCTGCAGAGTCAGGCTGATGTACTGGGCTGCCGCGTGTAGACGTGCCTGGAAGTAGCCTGCTGTCACCGGCACACACAGGTTCATAGGGCTGAGTGGGCCTGGGGGTTCACAGCAGAGACAGCCCCTTTCCCCACGGACCTCAGAGACCCCTGCTGACAGCCATGGCCTCCCAGGGCACAGGGGCTGGCCCCAGTGAGGTGCCTGGGCAGCTACCCCAATCTGTCACGCAGCAGCCTCCGTCCCAGTGTGCAAGGCGGCGTGTCTGCTTGCAGTAACCAACTCCTTCCATCTTCATTAGAAACGGAAGGCCAGACAGGCCCTGTGCCAGGTTAGTAAAACTTTCCATGAGCAAAGAGTTTTGTTTTCTCCCAGCTCAGGCTCAGGAAAGAAAGGAGAGTGAGCGGGGAGGGACGCACAGCCAGGCTCGGTCCCAGCCGCTGTGCCTACCTGCTTATTGCTATGATGACATCCAGACTTCTGGAAGCCACAGACCCGCAGAGGGGCCAGGAAGGCTGGACAATGGTGGGAGACAAGCCAAATGCTTGGAGAGCCCCTCATCTGCATCATCCAGCCACACAAGGGCACCCTGTCCACCGAGCCCCTCACCCCCATTGCAGAGCTACACACGGGCACTCCATCCACCGATCCCTGAGCCCCCATCATCCAGCTACACATGGGCACCCCCGCCCAGTGAGCCCCTCAGCCCCCCTGTCCAGCTGCACGTGGGTGCCCCATCCAGTGAGCCCCTTGCCCCTATCACAGAGCCACACGCAGGTCCCCCGTCCAGCAGAAGCCCTGCCCTGTTGGAGCAGCCCCAAGTGCTTCAAACATTCTCAGGTGCACCTTCAGAAAGAGCACGCACGACAGAAGCACATGTCCTGACACAGGTACAATCGCGACTGTCATGCAGTCAGGTGTCAGCCGTCAGCCCAAAGCGAGGATACCTAGGGGCTCTGCTTCCGGGAGGAGTGTTGCCATGGCTCCATCCTCTACAGTTCATGGGAACAGTAGCAGTCGGTGCTTTTTATGACATCCTCTCAAAAGTCGACCTTGCCAATAAACCACAGTCCACAAAGCTGCTCCTCTGAAACGGACCCTATGCCTCTGAGTTTAAATCTTACAGAGCTGGCAGGACCAAAGGGTAACTGATTTCTGGGCCAAATACTTTTGAAACAAAACCAAAGAGCAGAAATGACAGGACAAAAGAAATCCTTAAAGAAGTCGGACTCGTTGGCCCACTGCCGTTTGCTTGGCATGCAGGTTGTTCCTGGGGGTGAGTGAACAGTAAGTCTTGCAGTTCCGGGGCCAGTGGGTGCAGACCCCACCCGGCAAGACGACACTGCTACTGTGGGGCCATATATGACACACATATATGACACATCATGTCCATAGGTCCTAGGCTCTCTGAAGCCCTGGGAGTGACAGCCTGTCATCATCTCGTTCACTCTATGCTCCTGGAAAACACAATCCAATACATATAACAGTCCTGAAGCTGGTGGCACCAAAGTAAATCCTGTGACCCTCGCAGACCCACCACCATTGGCCTAATGACCTGCCTCAGAGGCTGGCTCAGAGACGCCCACTGAGCGGACTCCTGAAGGGTGTCCTGCTAAGGCCAGCAAGACACCCTCAAACAGTGGCCGGAACAAAGGACCACACTGACCAGCTTCGACTTCTACCAGGTACTGAAAAGCCACCCAAAAGGGTGGCGTGTGAGATGGCTCAGCCAGGCTGAAAGAGTTCCTGGGAGCCCCAGTAATGACTGCATCACTGCTCCGTAAGTGGGGAGTGACATCTGGGCGAGGCCCATCGACCTTGGAGGACCAGGGTTCTGGGTGTGATCTTACTGTGGGACCAGGCAACTCCCAGAGCAGGAAGCCCCCTGAGAGCCTCGTGCAGGCCTCGCTGGAGGCCCCAGGGACCAGCTGACTGGTGGTGAGAAAGGGCCCCACGGATGGGGCAGGTGCAGCAGAGGAACCAGTGTCCTGCAGCCGACAGACGGGTCTCGGCCACACAGATGACTCTTGCCGTGACAGTGGTGTGTGACGGAGATGGGCACTTGCTTTCCAGTGTCCGGGTCCCCTAGGGACTAGTGGCATTTCCCTGCCTGAACTGAATCCCTGCAACTCCCATCTGCTCTTTCCTGCACCTTTCCTTGGGTCCCAAATTCACAAGGAGATGCACAAATTCTGGTGGGGGGTTGGCAGCTCCTTGTGTGGGGTCTCCCTCCCCCATCTCAGATCCTCAGCCTTTTCCGGACATGGAGCTGGCGGGCAACAGGAGACCTGGGCGGGGGGCTCTCAGAGACAGGGAAGTTTAAGAAATACGTTCAAACAGATGCCTTTAAGTGCACCTTAATTAAGTCGGCAGGTGGGGAGCGCTCAGGGTGGGGTGGGGGTGGGGAAGGAAGACTACAAGTGTGTTGAGAAATTGAACAACAAAGTGTCACAACTGGCAACCAGGGAGTCAGAACTCATTGTTCTCAGGTCTCCAAGCTGGAGATCCAGATCAGATAACTCCAGCTGCACAGGGGTTTGCCTGGCAAGGAAAACACCGATGGCATTCACCGTCTATTGTCTGGGGGCCGGAGAAACTGGGGGACACAGGAGGGAGTGCAGGGAGGGCTGGAAAGACAGCTGGCCCTGACAAAACCTTCAGTGCACAACCAGCTACGAGCCAGCCGACACTGGTGCAGGGCCTTCAGGGGCTGGCAGGGAGAGGGAGGGCCCGGCCAGGCTTGGAGCTCCTGGTAGAACGTGCTGGAGCACACAGGCCAGGGCCGAGAGCTTTGCAGCTCCAGGAGGCCCCGGACCCCGCCTGGGGCCTGACTCTGTCACAGCCAAGGCAGGAGTCAGCCGCCGGGACTTCCGCTGGGCCAGGAGCTGGGAGGACCCCACCGGGAGGGGCGCGATCAGCAGAGGCTGCGAATGCGGGTGGCGGACATGGGTCAAGCCTGGGGTTAGAGGCTGCAATGCTCCCACGCGCCACCAGTGCCTCGGCGCTGCGGGCCTCTGGGGGTGCACGGCGGGCCTGTGGGGCACACGGCGGACCTAGGACCCTCACCAGCACCAGGCGCAAGGACCCATGTCCCCTGGCCGCCAGGGTGGGCCTGGCGGCGGCCAACCCCCAGACCTGGGTCTCCGTGTCCAGACGTCGCACCGCTGTAGAGTGGCACCTGCTTCCAGGGCGGCTGCGCAGAAATCACGGCCCCGCAGAGGCCGGGCCCACGCCCGGTGGCTGGTTGACCTCACCCGTTGCAAAGGCTCCAGGGTCGCCAGAACCCCAGACAGCTCGAGGGGACCGCGCTGCCAGCCTCCGGCCTCCGGTCCCCAGCGGCTTCGCAAGACCCCCCCCCCCCGAAGTTTCTGGGACAGCAGAGTGCAGGCGCGGGCGGCCCGGCGGCTGCGCGGAGGAGGCGGCGCCCCATCGAGGCCCATTGGTGTCAGGACGCACCCGTCAGTGGCAGCCAGGCCACTTTACCATCACCCCAGGGCTGCTGTGAACCTGAGCGGGCGCCTGGAGCTGCCGCCGGAAGTGGCCCTGAGGTGGTGGAGGGAGAGCAACGGCCGAGAACGCGGAGGGCCACTTGCAGGGTCAGGGGAGCCTGGCTGCAGGAGACTTGGCGCCTAAGGACGGACCACCTTTTGAGAGCAGACTTGACCACCTCCTGCCAGCGTGCCTGGAGTTAGGAACAACGGCGAGAACTCACACCTGGGCAGTAGGGATCCAGAAGCCCTGGGCCCAGCCCAGGGAACCAGGTGGTGGTCAGCAGGTGCCCAGGGGCCAGCTCCAGACCCATGGCAGCTGCTCTGTGCCCACGCTTGGAGCAGAGGTGTGAGTCAATGGGAGTGACCCCTCCCTGCTTCCGGGATACAGCTCCAGGAGTAAAGGCTGCTGCGAAAGGGCCCTGGGGAACATGGCGGTACACCCGGGAAGAAATGTGGCCCTGACTGCAACAGCGGTAGCAGGGACGAGCCAGTACCTCGCTGAGGGATCTTTACAGAAGGGCAGCTGAAGGATGGCTAAGGAAGCCCCAGCTTAGAGAGGAACATCTGAGTGGCCACCTTCCAGCACCTTCCAGAGCCTTCCGGAGCACATTTATTCTCTGTGCCCAGTCAGGGCAGCTTGGGCAAGAGACATCTTTCAGATGGGCTGACTGAAACAACGAGCACCTAAGAAAACTGGCAATCTGTCTGTACCAAGGCCCCCTGACACCCACACAAACATGCTGTGCTAGTCCAACGAAAGCACTAATTGACTAGGCCGCCTAATGAGCAGACCGCTGCAGGCCATAGGTCCCGTGCCTGATTGGCCTACAATTACAATGATCCAGGATCAAAGGCCCAACACAGCTCCTGCAAGTCAGCACTGCCTCTGTGATGTCACCATGCCCAGAAGAGAGGACAAGTATCTCTTTACAAAATAAATAACTACAGGAACAATGAGGCGCCTTTTGTTAGCGCTCATTAGCAAAACACATCAGCGTACAAATTTTTTACACCAATTAGCCTGACTACAGAGGTTTCAGAGGTGCCTCTTTTTCACACAATCTCCACGCCATCATGTTCAGTTGCATTTCTACACTGAGAGAGCTCCTGTGTACACAGGAAGAAGGCCACACATAGCGCTGCTTCAATCCCAGCTGAACACAGCACCATGTTCCCATGCCTTCGTGAGCTCCCAAGATGGCCACCACATCTAACTATCTGTAGAAAGCTGTACAGAGGAAAATGTTAATTACTTTTAGCAAAGCCATTATTTTTAGAAAATGGTTACTATGCTAAAGAAGCTCTGTACAGGCCACAGAACACAACCGCTTGACTTGAAGCCATGCGTAAGCATGGGCCTCTTCTCATTAGAACTTTCTCAGTTTAAGCTCAGCGGTTCTTTGTCCCGCTTTAGTTGGCATACGTAGGCACCCTACGATGTCGCCTTCTATCCCTGGGGTAGGTCTACGGCACCAGGCACCAGCCCCCGACCAAGATGGCGGCACTGGAACATGCGCCATGCAGCTGACAGGCAGAGACTAATCCTACGTGCCACGGAGTTATTGCAAACGACACAGAAGGAACCACTTCCCTACAGGAAATGTCAGTGAGGCTGGCGTGCGGCCCCACAAGGCAGTTAATTTGCACACCCTCCTCCTCCAGCCCGCGACCACAGGGCTGAGCGCACACCTGTACGACTCTGAGCACTCACCATCATCCAGGTACAACTGGTCCAAGTCTTCTGGTTCTCGCTTGATGGTTACAGGAATAGGGGCCAACTTATCACTACTGTCCTCATGCAACTCTGGCAGTGACAGAGGCTGGGTGTTTGGAGACTCATGTCTGTGAACCTTCAGGGGTCCGTGCTGCTGGTGGCCCACTGCAGATGGGCATGTTGGGCTGCAGGGCTGCAAATAGGTTGGCTCTTGGGTAACGGACGGAACTGGAGAAGAGGGACTGTTGGGATAGAGTGTTTGCTGGTAACCAGGGGAACTGCTCAGATGCTGACTCACCTGCGGCTGCAGCGTGGCATGAGATGATGAGTGGGGAGTGCTTGGGGGGACAGCTCTGGGTCGTGGCACTTCCTGAGTGGTGGGGGCTCCTCCAGCGGGTGGCTGGAGTCCGAGGTGGCCGTGGCCTGCACTGGGGCTGCACTTGGTGTAAGTGGCAGAAGACAGGTCGTGGAGCTGTGGGCTTGTGCTGGGTGGGGGTGACATCACCGTGCTTCTCTGCTGGCAGGATGTGAAGCCAGCCACAAGGCACGCACCAGGGTCGGGAGGCAGCAGGAGTTGCTGGCTGTAGTAGGGCTTTGAGAGAGGACTGAGCCCTTGGGTCATTGGTCCACAGGTCTGTGCAGGCTCGTAGTCATCGGTGGGTTCTGTTTTTATAATTGGAACTGTGAAGAGAAAAAAGTTAAATCAACACGAGTCACACACCGGTGCCATCGGGCCGGCTGTGGCTAGGATACCCTTTGCAAAACAAACAGCGTCTTGACTAGGTCTCTGTGTGTCTTTTGCCTGGTTCTCCCACCCAATTAAAAAAACAGGAATGAGTCACCGGCTCAAGAAAGTCACAGCTGGTTCTAATACCGAGGAGAACTATTTTCTTTGGAATCTCCTCCGGCACTAATGTGCTATAAAAATCCATTTGCAAACTGCAGTAGAAGCTTTGGACCCAAGGGTTCGTGGATTTGTAGCAATCAAAGCGAAAATGTTCACTTGGACGCACTACCGCATTTCTCCTGCTACTGACGGCCTATTTGATAAATGTCTGCCCTTTGAGTAAACTCGCCACAGCGCGATCACTCCTCAAAGTCCGCAGAAACTCAGCAGAGAAGACACATGGCAGTCCCACAGCTTCCACCCATGAGAATGAGGGGTGCTGCTCTGTGGGGTCTGCACTCCCGAGGGCGTGAGCTGTGTCAAAACAGCAGCAGATGATCGTGAACTCTGGAGGGAGAGGGGCTATGTAGGGAGCCCCGAGACGTTTCTAGACCATTCTCCCTCCCATTCCCACTAGGAAGCTTGTGGACAGAGGTCCAAGAGAAGCCACCACTGCTGCCTCCAGGGCCAGGCTGTGGGGTGTGTACAAGGTCAGTAGAAAACAGAGAGGCCATCAGAACTCTCCAGGCCGCCCCCAGGGCCAAGCACAGGCCCTCCATAGCTGCAGGGAGCTTTAGGGGAAATGGCGGTAGTGAAGATCTGTCATGGGCACCCAGCAGCCTCCAGAGGGCGCCTGCTCCATCTGGCCCTTCATTCTGGCCCTTACTGGCCCTGGGGTGGTGCCAACGGTTTCTGCCTGACTTATTAACCTAAAGGTTGGTGGTTGGAACCCACCGAGCAGTGCCATGGACGGCAGGCCTGGGAGTCAGTTGCCATGAAGATCAAGCTGAGAAAACCCTGTGGGGCAGTTCTGCTCACACACATGGTCACCATGGGTCAGAAATGACTCAATGGTCATGGGTTTCGCTTTTTCCTCCTTGGGGGATTGTGGGCCTTGTGTGCCCCTCTTCAGGGAGCCATTGGCACATTTCACGTGGCTTGGCTACAAGGGTAGCTTCGGTTCCTGATGGCTGTAGATGCCATGTGCAGGAGTGGTTGCAGACAGTGAACTGTCACCAGATCCCCATCACACTTCCGCCTCTCCACAGCTGTGCACTGGGTGCTTGGCAGCCGGAAGGTGTTGGGGGCATCCCCACCACACGCGGGCCACGATGCCCTCTCAGCCGCCGCATGCTGGAGGACAGGGCACAGGCGGGAAGGCGCCGCCTGAGAAAACAAACCGGCATCGTGTTTCAGGGGAAAATCTAACGAAGCTCTGGCCCCACATCTGTTTCCTATTAGGTGAGGCGGTGCCGGCACACACAGCTGAGAGCCACAGCGCGGAAATTTCCTGAAGCGTGTCTGGGACTGGAGCACCTGTGTGGAGAAAGGCTGCTCCTCGTGCTGGCTTGGCGCCGGGCCCCCAGACTCATGGTGGGGGGAGGAGCCAGGGCCAGGAACAAGCTCTCGGCCTTGTCTCTGAGCTGCAGCCACTCCACTGGACATGTGACTCGCTGAGTGTCCTGACCGGCACCCACTTGGGTCCCACCATCTCTGGCCCAACATCATGACAATTTGAGCTTAAGCCTGGGGACCCCTACCAGACTTTGGGTTCTGGGTTTCTTGAGTCCCCACTCATGGTCTCAGATGACTAGATGGCAGGGGCATGCTGGCATCCTGGGGCACTGGGAACCCAGGCCTTCTCACCCCATCACAAACACCACAGTCTGCCACTAGCTAAGACTGCCAACCACAGCACCTACCCTAGGTTGAGACTAAGATTCATCTTGGAGGCCCTCTCTGCTCACCAGCCCCCAGTATGGGCACCCCAGGATCCTACGTTGGTGCAGGACGGGGGTGAGGTGGGCCCGCAACAAATTTCAACTCATTCTGTCAGCCCCACATCCAGGCATCCCACATGCACATGGCCCACGTCCACGTGACCCACATCCACACACCTTACATCCAGGAACCCCAAAGCCACGTGCCCATGTCTACCCACTGCATCCCACCATCCACCCCTACAGCCCCAATTGCAACAAGTGTCACCCCATATCCACGTGCCCATGTTCACACACCTCATGTCCAAGTGCCCCACATCTACACACCGCACGCCACCATCCATTCCTACAGTCCCCATCACAACAAGAGTCACCCCATATCCACGTGCCCCATGTCCACATACCACATCCCAGCATCCACTCCTACAGTCCCCATCAGAATCACCCCACATGCACACACCCCACGTCCACACAGTGCCCCACCATCCACTCCTAGAGTCCCCATCAGAGTCACCCCACATGCACACACCCCACGTCCACACACTGTGCCCCACCATCCACTCCTAGAG